TCGTTCATGCTCTTAAATTCTGGAGGCATTATATTTATGTGGTGTCCTGTGAGGTTTACATCGATCATCAAAGCTTGCAGCATGATTTCAAGCAAAGGGATCTCAATTTGAGGCAACGCAGGTGGCTTAATTTACTAAAAGATTATGATATTACCATCCTTTATCATCCGGGCAAGGCGCATGTGGTTGCGGATGCCTTGAGCAGAAAGGCAGAGAGTATGGGTAGTTTGGCATTTAATTCAACAGAAGAGATGCCACTAGCTTTGGACATTCAGTCCTTCGCTAACATACTTGTGAGGTTGCATATTTTAGAGTCCAGCCGAGTTATCGCATGCATCATTGCCCAGTCTTCACTATTCGAGCAGACCAAGGCTCGTCAGTTTGATGATCCACACTTGTTGGTTCTCAGAGAGACGGTACTACATGGTGGTTCTAAGGAGGTTACTATCAGTGATGATGGTGTCCTGCGACTCCAGGGTCTCGTATGTGTTCCTAATATTGATGGCTTGAGGGAGAATATCCTAGACGAGGCACACAACTCTCGGTATTCTATTTATCTAGGTGCTACGAAGGTGTATCGTGACTTGAGACAGCATTATTGGTTATGGCGGATGAAGAAGGACATAGTTGAGTATGTGGCGAGGTTCCTAAATTGTCAGCAGGTTAAGTATGAGCATCGGAGGCCAGGTGGACTACTCCAGCAGATAACCACACCTTAGTGGAAATGGGAGTGCATTACTATGGACTTCGTAGTTGGGTTGTCATGGACCTAGCGGAAGTTTGATGCAGTTTGGGTCATTGTCGATAGGTTGACCAAGCCGACACACTTCATTCCAGTTGTGACCATGTATTCTTTAGAGAGATTGGCCCAAATTTACATTTAGGAGATTGTTCGGTTGCATGGTGTGCCTATTTACATCATATTAGATAGAGGCCCTCACTTTACTTTGCATTTCTGTAGAGCAGTACAAAGTGAGTTGGGGACCAATATAGAGCTCAACACAGCCTTTCATCCGCAGACCGACGGGCAGTCGAAGCGGACAATTCAGATCTTGGAAGATTTACTTAGAGCATATGTGATTAACATTGGAGGATAGTGGGATCGATTCTTGCCTTTGGCCAAGGTTTCTTACAACAACAATTATCAGTCAAACATCGAGATGGCTCCATTTGAGGCCTTATATGGCCGGCGATGTCGTTCTCCCATCGGGTGGTTTGAGCCTGGCGAGGCTAAGTTATATGGTACTGATTTGGTAAAGGATGCCTTAGAAAAGGTAAAGTTGATTTAGGAGCGACTTCACATAGCACAGTCCAGACACAAGAGTTACGCGGATCAGAAGGCGTGCAATTTATCATTTATGGAGGGCGAGAAAGTTCTCTTAAAGGTCTCACCGATGAAGGGAATCATGAGGTTCGGGAAGAAGGATAAGTTGAGCCTAAGGTTTATAGGTCCATTCGAGATGTTGAGACAAGTTGGGGAGGTTGCTTATGAGCTTGCTTTACCTCCCAGTCTATCAGGAGATCATCCTATTTTCCACGTGTCTGTGCTCCGGAGATATCATGCCAACAGGTCGCATGTGTTAGACTTCAGTACGGTTCAGCTAGATGAGAGCCTGGGTTATGAGGAGAAGCCAGTTGCTATTTTGATAGGCAGCTTCGCCAGTTGAGGTCCAAGAAAATTTCTGAGGTAAAAGTGCAGTAGGGTTAACTAGTTGAGGAGGCGACTTGGGAGACCTAGGAGCACATGCGGAGCATATATCCATACTTATTCGGCACTCCAAGTATGCTTCTAGACCCGTTCGAGGACGAACGCTTGTTTAAGAGGTGGAGAATGTAACGACCCAACCGGTCTCTTTGCTTTCTAGAACCTCGTTCCCCTAAATGCGACTCCCCATATGTGCTTTTACTATTTTATGACTTGCGGGGATGGTTGGTTCGTGTTTTGAAGGGTTTGGGTTGAAATCGGAACACTTGGTTCAATGTTGGCTAAATAAGGCTAAGTTTTACTTGAGTCAACATTTTGAGTAAACGACCTAGGAATCGGGATTTGACGGTTCCAATAGGTTTATATGATGATTTCGGACTTGGGCGTATATTCGGATTGGGTTTTGGATGACCCGGGAGCGTTTTGGCGCTTAATATTGAAAGTTAGCAGATTGAAGGTTTTAAAGTTCCTTAAATTTGGTTTGAAGTAGGATTTTTTCTATCGAGGTCCGATTGGGATTCCGGGACCGGGAATAGTTACTGTGGTGATTTGAGATTTGCAAGCAAAATTTAGTGCCATTCCGAGTAGTTTAAGTATGATTCGAAGCGTTCGGAGTGAATTGAAAACTTGAAGTTTATAATTTGATTCAATTTAGTTTTGGGGTGTGATTCTTAATTTTATTGTTGTTTGACATGTTTCGAGAGTTCGAGCAGGTCCGTATTATATTTATAGACTTGTTGGTGCATTTGGATGGGGTCCCGAGTGGCTCGGGTGTGTGTCGGACCACCCGTTCGAGAAACTAGATTTTTCAGTTCTGGTTTCCTTCTTCGCGAATGCGAAAGGACCCACGCGTTCGCGATGAAGGCGATTTGTCTTCGCGTTCACGTTCGCGAAGCTTTGAGATCCTAGGCCTACGCGTTCGTGAAGTTCCTATCGCATTCACGTAGAAAAATGGGACCTGGGAAGGGTCAGTAGCCATTACCCTTCACCTTCGCGATGCTCAGGCAGGGCAAGCCTTCTTGATCACGAAACTGCCCTTGTGTTCGCGATGAAGGTTTCCTGGGCCTGGGGAGCTTTGCCTTCGCGATCGCGCGGCTCCTTCCGCGATCGTGAAGAAGGATCGTTGGGCAGAGTCTTTATTAAAAACTGGACTTAGGCCATTTTGAGTTCATTTATTACACTCTTGGGCGATTTTGGAGCTTTAAAAAGGGGGTTTCAACCTAACTATTGAAGTTAAGTAATTCCTACCCCGTGTAAGTTTAATACATAGATTATGGGTATATTTTAACATGTAAAATTATAAAAATTATGGATTTAATTGAAAAACCTAGGTTTTGATTAAAAAAAATGAGATTTAACCACTATGGAAATGGGTGAAAACTATATATTTGAGTTCGTGAGGTTATGGGTAACATTTATCTTCGAAAATATTCGGGGGTGAATTTTAGGAATCTTCCAATTTGTGTTGGGTAATTACTCTAATAGTTGAATAATTAACTTTTGAACATGTATTGATTAATTTATATAACATCTAACTAGTTTCGGATTGTCCGTCACCGAGTTGAGGCTTTAGAACCAAATTGTGACCGGAAAGTGAGCTTTGAGACTAGGTAAGTCTCTTGCCTAACCTTGTAAGAGGGATTTTCTCACATAGGTGATTTAAATTAATATTTTCTTCTAATTGTGGGGGCTACGTATACACGAGGTGAAGAGAGTCTGTGCGTAGCTACTATTTATGCTTATGTCCGGGTAGTTTAGGACCCAAATCATGAATTACTTGGAATGTTTGCACCTTACTTGTTAATTTAAGTGCCTAAATTATATTAAAACTTGTTAGAGGAATTATCAAACACCGAATTTCACTTCCTTGAATTTAGAACGGATTACTTGACTGTAAATGGAGATAGTATTACATTGTGTATTAGCCTTGTAATAATGTTAAAGTCAAATGCTTATAAAGTATCCTCTTTTCTTGTGGAGCGGGTCGAACGTCTCGGCAGTAGAATAGATGCATCTATGGATCATGTCGCAGTTCCTTAGTAGTGTACATGTTATTATGGATCGGGTCGTACGATGTCGGCATAAACCGTGCTTAATAATACTCTTGGTCTAATCCTGCTTGATATTATTTTTGTGGCTTATGAGGTTACAATTATTAATGACATGAATTTACTTGGAGTTTCTTAATTTGTGTAAGAATTATTTGTTCCTGCTTGTTAATGAGTTATTATTATTATTTAACTAACCCAAGTTTATTTAGAATTTCTGTATTCATATTGTTAGCCCATAGTAAGTATCAAAATCGACCCTTCGTCACAATTCTTCGAGGTTAGACTAGATACTTAATGGGTACATGTTATTTATGTACTCACGCTACACTTCTGCACTGACCGTGTAGGATCTGAGGTAGGTGCATCTGGCAATCACACCGGCGCGCATCTCCGTTACCCGGAGGCCTAGTGGTGAGCTGCTTCTTGAGTTGTTCCGCAGCACCTAGAGTCTCTCCTTTGCATTCATTTCTGTCTATTTTCATCTCAGACAGTAGTTAGAGTTTTGTATAATCTATTAGTGCTCATACACTTGTGATACCAGGTCTTGGCACACATTAGCAGACTTGTGGTTTTGGATTATTACAATGGTTATGATTTCATCCAGCTGCTTTGGCTTTATTTATTTAAACTTGTTGCTTCTTAAATCTTTTAATTCAGGAAAATTTAATTACTTAGAAATTTATTAAAAAGACAAATCACGTGGTTAGTTCACTGTTGGCTTGCCTAGCGGCGGCGCTGGGCGTCATCACGGCCTATAAGAGGATTGAGTAGTGACAAGATGGTATTAGAGCACTAGGTTCACATAGGTCTCACAAGTTATGAGCATGCCTAATAGATTTCTAAGTATAAAGATTAGTACTAGGAAGGTCTTTGTGCGTCGTTTCACATATTAGGACTTCTCCCTTTCCCTCGATCTACAAACTCTGGTGTCGTCAATTAGTGTTTTTTCTCATCGGAGTAAAAAACTTGGAGATACCACAGCAGGATTCTGCAGCCGATGATGAGGGCATGGATCTGACGGTGAGTTCCTTTTTTCCTTTCTCTTTTCCTCTTTCGGTGTTTTTGGAGCGTAGGAAAAATTGTTGTAGATCTATTCGGTGACATATCTTAGTCTAAGAATGATAAAATAAGGGATTATTTTTGGGTGATATTTTCCAATTCTAAAAGTTGAATATTTTCTTTGAAATTAATTTAATTCTGGTATTGCTTTCTTAGTAATACTATAAAAATCATTACCCATACAAGTTCCAAGTGACTTTGTTCGTCCCTGAATATGTGAACAAATACGGAGTTGTAGGGACACCGCAATATGTTTGGGATCAAGAGGAGGTGTTGGCCGGTACGTTTGCAACATTTTTCATTTTTTTTTTTGATTAAAAAACTTCCGACATCTCATTGTTAATTGTGTTTTGTGTAGGAAGGATAATAAACAAACGTGCGGCTTCTGCAATGCTGTTTTGCAATGATTTAGAGAATGAAGGTGCCATCGTTCAAGTTAAGGCACATGTGAGGTGGTTATAGTACACACTAATCTTTTTTGTTATGTTATTTTCATGAGTCTAAATTTTATGCCAAAAGGCTTAGCTCAACGCTGTTCTAATGCCTTGAAACAAGAATGACAAAAATGGACCTACTCCCAAAGATAAGGGACAATCTTAGCTAAAAACTCTAGAGCAAGGCCTGAAGCTCCCTGCACTTTTGCGCTATTACTTTGGTAGTATAATTTTCTCATATTTGGAGAGTATCTATTCATAATGCAGCAAAAGTTTACAAGATTATGGTTGTGATGAACGTAGTATAACTCTTTGCCTCATTCTAAAAATAAAAAATAAAATAATAACTCTAGTCCATTTACACTGTCAATCCTTAAATCTTTCTCTGCCTATTGTCCACCCTATAGAAAGAGGAATGTCATTCAAAAAAAGGCTTTGAACTTTTTCTTGCTGAAATTTCAGACTTTCCGTCAAAGAAAGAGGATTGACATTCAAGTTGTACTCCAAATTAGTATCACTTGCTTGAGATTGTGTTTTCATGATATATGCTATTCTTAGGTTTAGACGACCAGTAGCGCTAATATTATTATGTTGCAGATTTAAAATTTTGATAATCCAAAGCCAAAAATGCTTTCCTTTAGCTTGTTCTAGTTGGATAAAAAATTAGGAGCCACTTTTTGAGTTATACGAATTTATCTTCTCTTATTTTCGAATGTTGACGACACTATGCTTCATTGGTGATGGGGAAGAGATACAATGTAAAACAAAAAACTATGCTCTTTTTGTATGGAAATGATACCGAAGAGTCGTGTTGGGCACTGTCCTAGGAAACTGTTTCAGCAATGTGAAATGTTTCCTCAGGATTAAACAAGCTCATCTCTATTTATTTAGAGGATACAGGAATCAGCAAAATTAAATAATTAATCCAACAGGTTCAAAAAATTGGAAAGAATTAATAATAATAATAAAAAAAAAAAATTATTAATAATAATAATAAAAATCAATAATAATAATAATAATGCTATTATGGTTCATGAAATGTTGACTATTGTTAAATGTGATTTAAAATTTCAGGATGATTTATACAATCAAAAGTTTTTAATAAAAACTGATGTTCAATCTGTTAAATACATGTTTAACAAAGATTTTATAATTCTCTTCCTGATTTCTTATCCCGTGAATACTTAAATTAATCATGAATTTCTATAAAACCTTTCTATATGAAAAAACGTTAATCACTATTTTGAAAGTGGTTAAGTTATATAGAGACTTACAAAGTCTTATAATTGATAAAATTATTGATAACATTGTCGAAGAATAATTTTCTATTCATGATTATTCTGAAGAAATTAGAGATGATATGCAAGACTATTATTTATCTGAATAAAATGAATTATTATATTTGCAGCATGGACCCTCCGTGGGCCAGAAGTAGAGGCAGAGGCAGAGGGGGAAGATCATCCCCAGGAAAATCATATTCTCAAGGATCGTCATATAGATCCTCATCTAACTCCCAGTGATACAAATCGAAAAAAAGAGTTTAATTAATAAGAAGATATCTCTCAAAGGAGAATCTTCGTCAACTCCTATTCATTTGGAAGATATTCCAGAGGACAGTCCATTATATGGTCATCTACAGGCATATTTAGCTGCTCAAAAGTAAAGTGATACAGTTTCTTCAATTGTCAAAGAGGACACTGATGATATAAAGTCCTATGAAAAATTGCTTTAAAAAATAATATTTCTTTTAGAAAATTCTGAGATACAGAGAAAAGATGAGCCATGGAAAATATTCCAAAGGTATTTAATTAATGGATTATATTATCTGGGTGAGTCATACAAAACTCGTTCTTATTATGAGATTATTCTCATCAGTACAGGCAATGCGGAGTTTCAGCACGTTTCCGGTTATAGCACGGATGAGAATGTTTATAACTTCTCAAAATTTATTATTAAACAGATTATATCTATTGAAGATTGGGGGATTTCCACAATGAAAGAAAGGCAAATAAGCCTTAACAAAACTCGTATGAATTTTACATATTGGGATTATATAAGCCTTTGATAAAGTGCTTTATTATAATAATGAGAGACATAAACATACTTGGTTCATAAAGGTATGTGCAAAGATATTTGCAGGACCCATTCCTAATTGGTTCTTAAATTGGTGGTCATACCATGGTCCAACAGTCAGGAAAGCTAAGTTTATAGATGACCTTCCCTCCTCACCCAGTTCGGTTTACCCGAGACCTCTGCTCATAGCAAGAAAAAGAAAAATAAGTATCATAAATATCCTAACCCTGACAGCCCTTATAAGAAAAAGAGATCGAGATATAGATCCAAAGAAGATCGTGAAGCTATTTGCAGGACCCATTCCTAATTAGTTCTTAAATTGATGGTCATACCATAGTCCAACAGTTAGAATATTATCTGACCCATTTCTCATGTTATACAAAGAATGGACTAAAGTTTCGCCAGATTTGAATAAGTTATACCACGCAGATCATATCTGCTATTTAGAAAAAACTAATCAAATATATTTCTTTATAGAGCTCTCTATTCCATGGATTCATAAATGAACTCCAGAGCTGGGATTCACTGAAAAACAAATTCCTTGCTTATATAGGACATTTTATAATAATTTCTGATCTCTCTCTCTCTCTCTTGTAAATCTCTCTCTCTCTATTGTAAGTACTTTCTTGTATAATCAGCATTGAAGTAAATAAAGTCTCCAGTTCATCGCATTCAGGCCTTGCATCCCGGCCTTAAGAGGTATTTATTTCATTAGTTA